TCTGCCTCAGCTGTGAATTTCATTTGTGACCATCCCGCCATCAAGGCCATCAGCTTCGTGGGCTCAAACCAAGCTGGGGAGTATATTTATGAAAGAGGATCTAAAAATGGCAAAAGGGTCCAATCCAACATGGTGAGTGCAACAAAGTCATTGCAATTGCTGCAAATCCCCAGAAGGTGGCAGCATTGCCCAACAGACTCTTTCCTGTGTTTTTGCTCTCTCTGTTCATATTAGTGACTTTCAAATGCACTGATGCGTGTGGAAAGCCGATTGCAGCTGTGTGTCACCGTGGAAAAGGGATATTTTTATTTGTGCTCCTCATTCCACACACGAACCAAAAATGTGCAGCATGTCAACTATAAAATTTAACCCGCAGTTTGTTTAGAACAATAACCTTATTTGTTATAAACAAGCAGGAGATCAAAGAGCTGAAGGTTAACCACTTCTGGTGCAATGCAGGGCGCCAAGAACCATGGTGTGGTGATGCCCGATGCCAACAAGGAGAACACTCTGAACCAGCTTGTGGGAGCGGCGTTCGGGGCAGCGGGCCAGCGCTGTATGGCCCTGTCCACGGCCATCCTGGTGGGCGAGGCTCGGCGCTGGCTGCCGGAGCTGGTAGAGCGTGCCAAGGCTCTGCGCGTGAACGCAGGTACCACACCCGCAAGTCACCCCCGCCTTTCAAGAAGCCCGCTCTCGCTCGGGGCCCTTTGGGTTAGCCGAGCCAGGGCCACCCACGCCGCCCTAACCTCACCTCTCGGCTGATGCTCTGTTGTAATTTCCATTTGGAGTCAGCTGGGAGCGCAGGGCTTGTCGAGGCAGTCATGCTGCAAATTTGTGGCCAGATCTGCGGACCAGACCTAAATGGCGGTTTTTGGCCATCAGATCCTCTCAGGAAAAAAGTTGATGTGAGGTGAAATGAAGATTGGCTTTGACTGCTTAAAGTGGAGTCACAGTAAATTTGGAACAGGAAAGCCACAAGTATCCGGGGTCCTCCTCATTGGAGGACGAGTGCGAATGTGAGTGGAGCTGATGTGCTGTGATGTGTGACACTACGCCTGCTTGTGTTTGGGCCCCGGCTAGGGGACCAGCCTGGTGCGGATGTGGGACCCCTGATCTCCCCTCAGGCCAGAGACAGAGTCTGCAGTCTCATCCAGAGCGGCGTGGATGAAGGAGCTCAACTTCTCCTGGATGGCCGAAACGTCAAGGTCAAAGGTTATGAGAATGGCAACTTTGTTGGACCCACCATCATCGGCAACGTCACAGTATGTGGGGAAAGACCAATTAACGTTTTCTCCCATTAGAACCAAACTTCAGTGTATTTAAGTTGGATTTTATTTGCTTTATGACCAACAAAATCGTTCAGTCTCAGTCAAAACAGGTGATGTGGAGTTGCAATAAATTTAGTAACTGTGAACATCAGTATTTAAGTTTTGCAACTGATTCTCAATGGGATTTATGCCAGGACTTTGACTGGGACTTTCTAACAAATGAATCCTAAAAAGCCATTTCTCCCCTCATTCCTCCAACATAGTACCTTTATATATTTATAAACTGCTCAGTTTCATACCACTTAAAGCAAAAGATGGAAACTTCTCAGGGAAGTTGGTTGCGTTAAGTTTAATTTAAGCGTATCAGAGTAAAGGGGGATGAACACAAATACTCAGCAAAATTTTTAGATCATTAATTTTGTTAAAGGAGAAAAAAATTAATTTGAAAATCCCACTCAAATAAACTGAATGAGGTTTTATTGAGAAAATGTTGAACGTTTTGTTTTGTGTCTGATTTTTAAAATGTTTTCGAAATATTTCTCCTCAGCCCAGGATGAAGTGCTACAAGGAGGAGATCTTCGGACCCGTCCTGATTGTCCTCGAGGCAGACAGTCTCGACGATGCCATCCGCCTGGTCAACAACAACCCCTACGGCAACGGCACCGCCATCTTCACCACAAATGGTGCCGCGGCGCGCAAATACACTCATGAGGTGGACGTGGGCCAGGTGGGTGGCTGTGTCCTCCAAATGCGCCCCTCTGTCCTGGGAGAAAGGAGGCATTCACATCCCTCTGTCATGTCTGACCTGCATCTCCAGCAGCGGGGAGCACATCACGATTCTGGTTGAGAATCTTCACATATTTAAAAAAAAACGAGAAAAAAAAAATTCCATGTCACGTATCTTCTTGTTTGCTTCTCACCTAAAATACACACATCGGGTAACCCTGTTTTCTCTACTTTCCTGCCATCTGAGGCTCCAAATAGATAAGGCAAACATGTGTGTGTTGCAGGAAAACAGAAGGGTATGGAAACATATTTCCAGGTAGCATCCGGAGCAGGGAATTCTCAAATTAAAACTCAAAAGGGATTCCAGGGTTTGTGTTCAGCAGACGATGGCCAGCCTTCACCCTGTTTGTTTGCCTGTGGAGCCTGGTTGTGCCCTGTGTTTGCTGTTCACATGTCGGGGAATGTTGTGCAAGCCATGTGCTGCACTCCTTTCCAAAACCTCTGTGCAACAAACATCTACTTTTCGTTTTTCTTTTTTTCCTTTTCCACTCGGCGCACCTTCGCCAAAAGGCCCTAGTGTGTCAAAACGTCTTCCCGCTCTTTCAAACATCTTAAACCAACCATGGCTCTGCAGTTTTCAAAACAGAATGTTTTATTTAGCTTTTCATCCCTCTAATAAGGGCATGCTGCGCTTTAAAAGCAGCACATTTGGCCACAGGTTCGGCTTTGTTTATTGCGACCATGTAGGCTTGTTTTTTTAACAAGCACGGACGCACCGCATCTTTTTGTACGCTGCATCTCAATCATCCCAGCAATTTGGGTTCCTGGAATTGTTTTACAAAACTTACACTTATGGAAATGAAAGGGACAATGCCTGTTTGTGTGCAGATTGGAGTCAATGTGCCCATCCCTGTGCCGCTGCCAATGTTCTCCTTCACTGGGTCAAGAGGATCCTTCAGAGGGGACACAAACTTCTATGGGAAGCAGGTAAAACCTTTTTTGCATATTTTTTTACTTCCGTTTGGGTTTCTACTGCTTCTGAAAACAGTCCGATCACTTGAAACAATTGGTCTGGCAGTTTTTGGCAATAAGTTAATGTTTTTGGTGTCTGGAAAATGAGCCATTTCAAAAACCTCAAGAATCAACGCTGCCCCTCACCTAGCAACCACAGCGAAGCTCACCCTGTTTTTAATCAACCTCAGCAGAGCTCTTGCACATTTGGCCAGATGGTTTTATTGCTGTATGTGATGAAGAAAGGCTGCTGAAAAAGACAAGTGTTTTGTTGTTGAGTTGCTATCCAGAAACCACTTGCTGGATTCTTGTTGGTTGTGCATGATGCTCCACTTCTGCTTTTTAAAGAAGTATGGTTGTATAATTACACATCAGTGTGTGCCCATTGTCACATGTGAGTGTAAACGTTGAGTTAGGGGGCGGGTCCACAGCAGCTTCTGTAGATTTAAAGAGACAAGAGGCCCTAAAATGGCCTGTTATGAAAAGGACCTCAATATATTTAAGAAATTAGCAGACTAAAAGCTGATTATATAAAAATTATTTTGTGCAAAAGATGTTTTATATGGTCACCTGTTGTGAGCTTTTATCACTTTTCAATCACAAACTTCAATGTATTTAATTGGGACTTAATAAGATGTACACATATATTTATCTCCCTTTACGCTTCAGCAAACGTGTGGAAGAAGGTGTTCTGATCAGATGAGAATAAAAACTTTTTAGCATATACAAACACAGTATGCACTGTGAAGCATGGCAGTGGCATCATCATTCTGTGGAAATATTTCCCTTCAGCAAGGAAGTTTGTAGAAAATGATTGGAAGACAAATGCAGCTAAATATTGATCCATTGTCCAGCAGGAAAACGATGCAAAACTTACAGCTAAGCTTGTTGCAAAAAAAACATTGAATCAATTAATAGCATAATAAATTTAAACAATCTTAATGATTTCCATTTGCTTTGTTTTCGTTTGTTTCACTTACCAAATACTGGATGATAAAAGTTTTCATTTTAGTGCATTGGTCTCAACTTGCCCTTTTTTAAAAAAATTTTTTGTTTTTACAGAGATTTCAGTACTAATTTTTATTAATTTTTTTGTTTTATTTTGAGGTTCTTAAAATGTCTTCCACTTCCCATGATAAATGTATAGAAATTAAAGTTTATTAGTTTGTGAGAGGGTGTACTTGCATTATTATGGCATTACTTGAAAATGGTCTGAAAGCTGATCCAAAAGGACCTGCAGCTGAAATTGCAGCGAAAGATGCTTCCACAGAGTTTTGAGTCAGGTCGCATATAAATGCACAAAACACGTTTTCAAACTTTTATCTGTAAAAGTCTAAATTCTGCATCATTTTCCTTTAAGTTTTGTGCTGCTTTAAAGTATGCTGAAGTTTGTGGATATGATCAGTTTGATGAGTATGTCATTATTGTAATTTTGTCTCTTCAGGGCATCCAGTTCTACACGCAGATCAAAACCATAACCTCACAATGGAAAGCTGAAGATGCTACCTTGAAAAGTCCTGCCGTCACCATGCCAACAATGGGACGCTGAATGCTTCATCCTTCAAGTGCTTCTGATGTAACTTCAAGTTTTCTTCCAGAAAGAAAACAAACTACAGTATATGTTCATAGATAGATGAATGACATGAAATAACACCCATTTTAAAGATGTTGTATGTAAACAGTGCTTAAATGCTGAATGAATGTCAGCAGAGCTGTGCAGAAGAGGAAACACTAATAAATCTTGTTGGTTCCTTAAAGATTGTGTGTTTTCTTGGAGGCAACCAGTGTTTGTTTTTGTTTTATGCATAAAATACACAATAAAAACCACATGCATTGTAAAAACAGCTGAAAGGAACACAAACCAACATTTTCTACTGTGCTGTACTCCTGACAGACACTCCTCGGGAAGCACACAGAGCGAAGGCGCACAGCTATGAGATGAGAGCTGCAAAGGCTGCACCGAGGTCATGTGTGGTGCGAATCCGACAGGCTGTTTGGGGTTGAGGGCAGAATGGACTCCGGCGCCTGGGGGCCGATGAGCGCCCCGCCAGTTCTCTCTAATCTGGAGGACAGTCATCATTATGCATCGCTAAAATGCAAACCGTCTTGATAAATCACATGTAGGAACTGACGTTCTCGCAGCCACTGCTTTTTCTGCTAAACATGCAATGTGGGACCGATAAATCTGTGCAGGCTTTCTAAATTGTAAGGATGAGGTAAAACCTTTTTTCATTTTTTATTTCTGTGCCATTTTTTTTTATTTTTATGTGTGTGTGTTTGAGCTCAGCAGTGTTGGTGTCAAAGAGTCTCTTTCCGTTCCTGGCTGGAAGCACAGAGATCCTGATGCTTGCAGACTTTCCTATCAGAACACAGAAATGAAAGGTCATGTTTTATAACACATTTGTTTTTTTATTTTAACTTTATTTTTTACCCCTAATGCGGTTATTCTGGGTCAAGTAGATTTGGATCCTGCTTACTGATTGTCTTATTTTATCAAAAGGTCAGACTGGATGCCAGACCACTACTGACATGAATATACTTCCCGTCTTTCCCGCTTTATCCCATACGTTCAGATTCCCTGCACAATCCTCTGGAAATCATGTTACCAGCTGCTCTCCAACCACAAGCGTTCAAAGGACAAAATAAACTGCTTGTGCACGTGAAGAGGAGACCAATGAGCTGGAAGAAAAATCGTTGTGACCAGATGTTTGTTTCCAAGCACACGACTCTGTGGCCGGGCCTATTTTTACTATTGTGCCCAGACTGTTTCTTCATTCTTTTTAAGCAGCTGGATGGAAAAGAAAATTGGTCGAAGCCTAACTTATGTTTTATGGTATCCTCTTCTGCCGAGAAAATGGCTGTTTAAGGCATTAAAGTGAGGGAGGAGTCAGCATTTTCAATTTGAGCTAACTGCATGGTGTCACTGCACTTTGTTCTTCTGAGTTAATTGATGCAGAAGTTTTTGGTTCATTTTAGACAAAAACAAATGGATTTTAATGTAGGCAGTGAGCACAAATCCTAATTATAGTTTAGCTGTGTGAAACATAAGCCACTTATGGGGGATGTTTTATTACCTTTCCGTCTGTCCATTCATTTTAGCAAAGAGGAGGCTAAGCACTTTTTCCTTTTGCTCCCAAGTGAGATGAGACATGTTGACCTCACCGCTAGGAGGATGGGACCTTCAGACAAAACAGAAGGCAAATTAGACATGTGTTTCATTAAGTCATGCGCCTTTAATTTTCTCTCATTACAATCACAGCTTTTAATGAGTTTCACTGACGGTTTATGAAGTGGAAGGACACAAAATCTTACCAAATATGTTTGTCTTGTGTCTAGTGCAAATATCTTTGTACATTTGAAAGATAAGATAAAACTAACTCACAAGTGACTTTTTAGTAAGATATAGGAACTTGATTTAAATCTGTTAGACTGATGGAAAAATTACTTGTTTCACTGGCTGATTATTTCACTTAAAACATGGAGAAAATATTTTATTAAAAGAGAAATAGTCAGCAATAATTCCTCAATCAATATTAAGGAATGATCTACTTAAAATAAGATCCTATATCTTGTTGAACTATTACTTGTAAGTTATTTTTGTCTCATTTCAAATGTACTAAGTCATTCGCACTAGAAACTAGACCAAAAATACCTTCTAAGATTTTGAGTTTTTGCAGTGTTTATTGTTAAGACATTTTGCAAATGAATATCTGAAAACTGATTAATGCATTTTTAATTACCCTTTTTTCTGCTGCTCTGACTGAGTGCATTGCAAACAAAACCATTGTTGAAAGTGATCAGTGATATGGACTTAAAATTTAAAATGTATCTTTTACCAGCAGAACTGCAGAACTTATTCGATCTTATGGTAGAATTTTTTTTTTACCTCTGGCAGTGTGCAAATACGATCATTTTGAGTTTATTGTTACTCCAGGATAACCAATTCTAACCTTGATAATTATTTTGAAAGCAGTAAGTTGTTTGGTTTAAAACAATAGATTTAGTTTACATGTAGAAGGAAACTTCAACTTCACATATATACACTATTTCTTTCTGCTCAATCAATTCCAATAAAATACATTGAAATTGGTGTAAAATACATTGAAATTGGTGTTAGAATACATGGGGAATATAACACTATAGAAATGACTGAAAGAAAAGAGAAAGTACCATTGTGCAGCTGCATAGAGGTAGTTGGGACTTCTGTTGACAGAACGGATGGGTGGGAACTTTATCATCCCAGCTGTTGCCTCTCTAAACTTCTGCCGATAATCCTGAAGGGCTTCTTTTCTATTCTGAAGCCTGCTGGCAACGATCTCCTGCCTGACGTGATCCAGCGCTTCGTGGAAGAATTCCTCCACCTCTCTGCGTTTATCTACGATGGTCTTCGCCAGCTGCTTGACATGCTGCAGCTCCTTCTCTCGCATGGCGAGGAGCTTCTGCAGTTTGTCCAGCTCCACCTGGCTGGCCTGGATGGTAACCAGATCCCTCTTCTCCTTCTCTTCCTGCTGCTCAGATTTTCTGGAGATTTCTGCCAGGGCCAGCTCCAGTGAAGCAGCTTTGGCCATGACTTCAGAGAGCTTCTTTTCTTTCACTTCCATCTTTGCCGTATCCTTCTTAACGGTCGCTTCGAGCATATCCTGGGTGAGAGTGCATAAAGAAGAGAAAGTCCTGTGCCAATTTGCAGTACATGCACTCATCAAAACTATGATTGTTACATTAATTTTAGGCTTCTTCTAAGAACAGGGAGTAAAACATTTTTTTTCTTTTTTGGGGGGGATTTCACTCATGAAAACAGGTTAAAAATGACACATACACTCAATTTTATCCATGTACTATTTGGCTAAATATCCCTTAGCATGTTGTGCCTCATCTACAAGCTTTCTGCAGCTATTAATCTGCTTCTGGCATCAGTGGTCAATCAAGAAGCTTTATGTCAGGATCTTTGTTTTTTCTGGTTTTATAGTTTTGTTACTTTATCTGTGTTTATCCTTCGCCGTTCTTTGCCTTGATTAGATCAGGCTTGTTTCTGTTTTATATCAGGTCAATCAATTCTTAGTATTTCAATTAGGTCTTTATTATTTATTTGTTTATTGTGTTTGCTTCATTTTTGTCATTGTTTTCCCATCTCCTTTGCTTGTGTTTACTCCTCCTTGCTTCCCTTTTACATTTTGACTCTTTGGATTCTCTCAGGATACTCCACCTTCCTCCCACAGTCCAAAAACATGACTGTGAGGTCAATTGATCTCTCTGAATTGAGTGTGTGTCCAGGATGTACCCTGCCTCTCACCCAGTGGAGAGAACCAATGATCCAATGTGTCTGTGATCTTGCAGGGATAAGCAGTTAAACAAAGAATAGATGAAATACGTTGGGTCAGAGTGATGAAACTTTAACACAGTTTCTTGTTTCAGCATAAAAATGATCTCAGTCACACATCAAAGCAGGTTTAGGATTGGAGGAAGTCATCTTTAAGGTGGTGTGACATGTAAAATTGACATTCTTGAGCATTATAACATGCTATAATGTTATTCCCTCGTTGAAAACATATCTGATGTCACGTGTTAGTTTTATTCTTTCATGAATGTTTGAGAAATTCTTGGCTCTCCCATTGCAATCATTCAGCTGTTCAAAAAACATCCCAAACGGCGCCTTTTCCACAAAGCTCCTCCCCGGATATAGCATTCTTAAAGCAACAAAAGGTAAAATAGTTCATTGACTGTGCTAGACAATGTCACTATTTCCCTGGAAAATATATAATACTGCCCTTTTAAGTTAAGCTTCTCAATGGGTTCCTAAATTAACCTATTGATGATTGTTGGATTGTGCTTAAAAGCACAATTTGTGTAAGAAAACCAATGAATGTCTGATGAGAAAAGTGGTCAAATATTCAGCTGGCCAAGCAGCTTGTTGATGACGACTAAAAGGTTGCGGTTGAGGTGCTGAGCACATTCAGCTGAACATTGGTGGGGCTGTTTTTATTTCTCTAATCCATTTGGATTAGAGAAGATTCTTATTTTTGAAATATATTGAAGTTTCTTAAATACCTGTTGTAGATTTTACATACCGCCCCAAATTAATGCAACATTCATGTCAATGATGAGTTAATAAAAACCTCTGACCAGGAGTCCTAACTTTAGATATTTTTTACTTATGCTGTAACTTGTGAAAGCATCAGGGAAACGGATTTACTCCTCGTGATTTGCTGTCATCATTAGAGGTAAGATTAATGCGCCCAATACTTATTTATCCAAACGAATTGGTGCCAGGAAGCTCCAAAGGATAATTCAATTACAACTCAGACACCAGTGGAAACTCGCCGCAACCACTGACCACTGAGAGCCTGGAGAGCAGTCAGGAGGTCAGTGCGAGTTGGACCACAAGCAAAATACACAGGGTCAGCACACATAAACAACATAAGGGGGAAAAAAACCCACCTGAAATATATTCCGGACAGATCTGACAAACACTTTCATAACTGAAAATTACTTTCAGGGCATAAATGGTCTCTTTCCAAGGACCACTACTTAAAAGTCACATTGGTGTTTGCTGTCTTTTGGGTGAAACATACCTTCTGCAGCATGACTGAGAGCTTTTCCTTCGCCAGTGAATGCGTCAGTTTCTTCAGGCCCTCTGCTTCTTGAATGGTAGTTTTCAGGGTTTCATTCAAGCGATCTTGCTCCTTGAAAGCAGAAGTTAACGCACTTTCCATCTTGCTAAAGGAAAGAAAAAAAATCAAGCAAAGAAGACTCCTGAGAAATTTGTTTCCAGACATACAGATGCAGACACGACATTTTCTCACACTTTCCAGAGGGGACTAGAGAGGAAGTGAGGTGGCAGTGAAAAAAGGGAAGACACAAGGAGGGGAGGACATAAAAAAGGACAGTAGGGAAGGAGGAGAGAGGAGATCACATTGTAGGACAGGAGGAAGGTAGAAAACCTTCCAGGGAAAGAAAGGAAGGAAGGACACAAAAAGAGTAAAACAGGAAAGGGAGAGCAAGCAAGTGACAAAAGGAAGGATGCAAGAGAGGAGGGAGACAGAAATGAAAAGGATGTGATGAGAAGTGAAGGGATGAGGACTCAAAGAAAGAAGGAAGGTAGGGAGGATAGATGTGGTCACAGGAGGTAGATAAAAAAAGAGAATATAAGACAGCAAAGGAAGGTAGGACACAAAGAAGGACACAAAAGAAGGGAGGAGGAGCAGGAAACACAAGGAAAGAAAAACAAGGCCACAAGAAAGGAAAAACAGGAGAGAAGGACACGAGGAAGAAGGTAGGGCGGATTTAAGCAAGTGAAGAAGAACAAAGGGAGGGGAGGGAGAACTCAAGAAAGAAGAGAGGAGACAAGGAAGGATAGAATGAAAGACAAACAAAAAAGAAAGGACAAAAGAAAGAAGCTAAGACAGAAATAACTATATGAGCAAGGGAGATGGGGATGATATAATAAGGAAAAGGACACAACCTTTAAGACATGTTTCCATTTTCTATAGCTTCATATTTATCCAGACCCAGAAAATATATAAATTTAATTCCATACTTTTCCAAATGTTTCCAGGATGCAGAAAAACCCTGTGAATCAGTCCTGTTGTCCCGTTGTTTTACTTTCTGATTTTATCTCAGCATGATACACATAGCGTTAGTTAAGAAGACCAAATCAAACAGAAACGTTAACTTTAGGGTCACAGATTTCTGTTCTTGGTTTGAAGAAGTCCTTCTCTGGAAACCGGATGGGAAACAGTTGGTTTGTTTAACTTCGAGGCTCAAAATTAAATCAATTATGGACAGTCAGACCACGCCGGCAGCGCCACATCCGGATCAACGTTGATGTTTCATGAGCTGTGAAAACATCACCGCCAGAGTAGGACACACAACCTATAGCCTCAAAAGTAAACTATGGTCATCCACACATGCTCTGCTTCCTGCAGGCGTTTCTGGGATGGATGAAGATGTGATAGTTGACTCAGGAAGTATACACTGTCATGAACATGGCAAATCCAAAAAATAACATTAATTCTGGTCACATATCTACACAGAAATTATTTTTTCTTCACGTTCTGCTTGGTAGAGCATTTTAAAAGATTTAAATTCAGTATCACAGCCGTGAAAACACACTCACACAATAGCTTCATGGTGGTCCAGCTTCATCTTTGCTATCTCTTGATTGCACATGAGCCTCATCTCTCTCTTTAGGTTTGCCTGCGGAGAAAAATTACATAACTTCACGTAACTTGGGATATTTGAGGTTTGCCACTGTCTGTTTTCATCCAACAAGTATAGATGGGCCCTGCAAGAATGTCTTGAAGAAGTGTTAATTTCCCTTGAATGTCTTCACATTTTGTCAACAACCAGAAAAGCAACGATAGATGGTTTTCAGTTTTTTTCTATAAATCTGAAATGAGTTGTGTGGCATTGCATTCACCCCTCTCTACTTTGTAGAGTCAGTTTTGATATAAGTTTTTACCAGCTTTGAACATCACAATAACTTTCTGTCAGATTGGATGAAGTGACTTCAAATGATTGGCTTTTGGTCTGATCTTTGACTAGGCCGTTCTGACAGATTAACAATATTTTTTTTTTCCTCAGTCCAACTGAATAAAACTTTAGAGCTGCATATGTGACATGATGTTTTCTTAAAATGAAAATGTATCATTTTAATGGAAAATTGGTTGTAATGTCTAAAGAACAGAACATTTATTTTTTAAGGATAACATAAAACTCAAGAAAAGGATGAATAGATTTTATTCTATGGGATGTCGATATTATAGGAAAATGATATCAATTAATCATTTTCTTGTTATTCCCTCTTAATGACAAAAAAAAAAGACCTGTGGTGGTAATTCAATACATTCCATGAAAAAATAGCCAACATTTGCATTTATTTTTATATCAAAATATTAATTTTAATTTTCAGCCAAAGATCTTATAAGCCATTGTGAAAGGTCCAAATAATATTTTGACCCTCTGCACCAATTTAAAGTCTTTTCCAGTAATAACAGTCAATTCTAACCACTTCCTTCTCCCAACTGAAGAAAAGCGTACCGTCCCTCAGCATGATGCAGCCACTGCCATGTCTTAAGGTGAGGATGATGTTTTCAGGGAGATGCCACACATAGCATTTCCCAAAGAGACACATTTTAATCTTATTTGATCATTCTTTCTTTCACTTGTTTGCTGTGTCCCCTACATGGCTTGTTGTAAACTGCATATTGAACTTCTCATGACTTTCTTCTTGCCACACTTCCAAAAATACCAGATTTGTGGAAAAATGTATAGTTTTTTACTCTTTGAGGCTCCTCTACACTAACCACTGATCTCTTGGCTGCTTTGTTGATTAATGCTCTCTTTGACTGGCCAGTGAGCTGAGAGGGACACACGTCTTTGTAGAATTGCAGTTATGCCAAACTCTTTCCATGTTCAAATGAAAGATTGAATGATTCTCCATGACGTTTTCAAAGAATGCTATCGCATGACTCATGTCTGAAGTGTTTCTCGCTCTTCATGATGCTTTTCGTTCACTTATGTTGTTTGGACACTTTTTTTAACTGAGGCACTTCTGGCACTAGATTTTATTTAGAGGTATCACAATAAAGCGGGTTAGATAAATAAACATAGTTTGTATTAACATCCCACATAAAATCTCAATAAAATATTCAGATGTTTGTGGTTGTAAAAGTTCAATATTTGCAAACGTTTGCAAAGCACTGCATATTCAGTAAATACAGTTCTTTGTAGTGTTTAAACCTGATCCCTTTGGAAACTGTCCTCAGTTTTCCTCAGCGTTTCCTCATGCTCTTTCTGTGTGAAATCCATGGTTTTTCTCATCTACAAGCAGAGCAAAAAATGTCAGTTTCATCACGATGACTTCCAAATTGAAAATATTTAATCCTGTTTTCCACCTCCTCACATCACTGAGTTCTTCCTCCAGCCGGGCTTCACTTTCCTCCATTTTTCTCATTTCGTCCTGGAGCGCTTTAAAATCTTCAGCCTTTTGAGACACGACAAAACAGAACATAAGCCGTTACATATAATGAATTACTAGCATCAAGTTTTATACAATGTTAGATGATGCAAATTGGAGACAGTAATAAGACTTCACAACCCAAGTTTCTCGCATTCATCTTAAATGTCTTAAGATGCTACTGTGGAGAAGTCAGTCTGAGAAAAAATGTGACAAAGTGACCAAAATCATGAGGGACTGAAAACACGCGCGCCCACAAACATGGACATGACGACTAAATGAGAGGTTATCAACCATCTGATTACAGCTTGGAGCCTAATCGTTATTCTTCAGATAACTCTCTAAACGTTCATCTACATCATCGCTGCAGTATTTACACAAGCTGGTCTGCATCTTCTAATTTTCCCCTATGTAACCCATCCTATGGTAAGGTTTCCAAAAATATTCACCGCTTTAAAGTTAAGTGATCAACATTTCCCTCGCGCTGCACAGAATAATTATTCGCCCGACCAAACCGCTTTGCATGTTCGTCGCTTTTACATACAACCATTTTATCGCCTTGCAGAGTTTGAGGCCCCATCAAAGTCTCATCTTTAGGAGTGAACTGCAGCTCTTATAAAAAGGGGACATATGGGAGAGCCTTGTACATTTTAAGTTGGTCCAGACCATGCGTCCTTTTTCATCCTCTGAAGTTGGGTTTTACTATCATGAAGTAAGAATTGGAAGATGGAAAACAGCTGCCATCCAAAGAATATTTTTTCTGTCACTTGACTTTGTCATGTGAGCTTGAAAGCTTGGACTTTATGGTGGGAAACAGAGGTCAGAGAGGGTATGAATATAAATAAGTTCCTTTGGTGTGCGTTATGTAACATAAAGGGGCCTTTCTAGACTGAGGATCTTGTGTGACAATGGAAGTCTGGTTAACACATCAAGACCAGCAGCGTGTCTGCATTTTCCCGACCAAGCACTTTTAAATTATGCTTTTTCACTGTGGCTGGTGGAGTAGATTAAAATAACATTAGACCATCACTTGGAATGCAAGGCTTTGTGTTTATTTTATTGTATTTTATTGTGCCTTTGTTTGGTTGTTGTTTTTGTAACATGGTGAATGCCAGCATAATTACACACAACACCAGCTGTTAGCAGACAGCGCAGCGCATTTTTGACATGCTACAGGTTTAAGATGTACACAGTAAATCAGACCAACGGCAGCTCCTGGAATGGAAACTACTTTTAACATGCAGTGTTTGGAGATATGTGTGTTTTTTTAGATAAACATCATTCATGATTGATTACAATAGAAAATACAACTGGGAAAAATTGGATTGATATTGCGACACACCTTCCAACAATAAATAAGAAAAGATGGCACCAATCTAAGTTGGCCCCAACCTTAATTTTGGTATTCATATTTTTTAAAGCTATATATAATATTAAAAATAATAAATAATACTAAAACACAATATATTTTTCAAATACTAAATTTGGGAATACTATGCATGCTTTTCCAAACCTTCCCTTTACCTAATAATAAACACCATGGTGAAAGAATAACATCCATCCAGTTGCTGGTTCAACCATGTACCAGAATTCAAAGAGCTTTCTGTGCTTTTCTACTCTTGTTTATTCCAAAATAATTTTAAAATAGTGCGTCTGCACAGTAATTAACCAGAAGCAACATTAGTGGACTGAGCACATAACCTTGGGGGACGTCAGTGATCAGTGCAGTGTTTTGGGAGACACTGTTCCCAATCCAGATTAACAAATGTATTCCAGTCAGAAAGTCCAGTAGTACACATGAGGACAACATGTCCTTGGCCCCAGATTCAGTACACCACAGACCAGAGGCATGTCCCCTGAGAGCTCAAATCCTAGTATACAAATCATATTTTAGTACAATTTTAAATATTTTTATTGTTTAAAATGGTAATGATGACTGCCCCAGTTCAGAAAACACCAAAACACTACATTCAGTCATTCACACACACTTAAACTAGTTATACTTATACGAGCAGGCCATGTTATGGTGGGATCTTAATACAAACTAGTGTATATATATATATATATATATATATATATATATATATATATATATATATATATATATATATATATATTCAGCCCGCTTTATCTTAAGAACTCTAAATAAAATGTAGTGCTAGAAGTGCCTATAGTTTAAAAGAAGTGTCCACCTGACTGCACTTATACTAGAATTTGTAATTTTGCAAATTGATGCATTTAATTGCATAACATTTTTATGTCTGTAAATATAAAAAAAATAATAAAAAAACCTAATGCTTTACACCAACCTGTTTGCTTCTCTCTAGAAGTGCAATGGCCTCTTGTTTTCTAAGTTTGTCTTCAAGCATCCTGATCTGTGGGATTAGAATTTCAGTTCAGCTTTACATTACAGTCTGATCATTTCTATTGGCCTCATCGCCTCCTGACCTTCTCCTCCCTGGCCTCTACTTCTTTCTGCCAGTACCCGGTCATGTCCACATTGTTCTGCTCACAGCGGAGCAGCTGATTGGTGAGCTGCTCGTTCATGCAGGCCATGTTGTGGTGGGCGCCCCGGTAGTCGGACAGATCCTGCTCGGTGATCTTCAGCTTCAGTTCCCACAGCGCGGCGTTGGCTCTGGCCGTCTCCAAGTCCGGCTCTTTCTCGGTTTTTGGCTCATGCTTGGAGCTTTTCTTTCCTTTCCTGTGACAGAATAAATCCCGCAACGGGGCTGTAATTTCCTATTTGCACGTAAACGCAGCAAATAACCGCACTTACCCGCGTTTCTCCCGCTTAGATTTGGAGGCTTTGGTTGTAGGCATGACTGATGGGGCCCAACAAACCTGGTACCTGTTGGTAGTGAAGAATGGCTGCTGTAAGTTGGCCTATTTGTTGGGCTGTGGCTATGGTGACTCTTAATAAATTATACAGGGTATCCTGGTAGTGTCTCAGTCCAGTAAATAAGAAACAAATCACTGGATATTATCATTGTGAAGTCAGATTCACAATGATGAATCCATTATCATTTAAGTGTGCCAATGCACAATTTGATCCATAATTAAATAAGTCACAGTGAAATCTACAAATTAATTTTAACTCCGGTATATGAGATGCATAATATGTTCTTTTATTATAATGTGATTCACATGCATGAGTAAAAAAAAAAAAAAAAAAAAACACTTAAACTTTTATTCATTAAAATACTCTCTAACATTTGATTGGCTAAGTTCAACAGACACCTTCTTTAGACCAATCATCTTAACTGAAGCATGGATAATCCCTCCCACTGACCTTTTTACTCCTAAATTAAATTAATTTTACTTATAAAGCACAACAAATTCAATCTCATACAGGTGAAGTTCATACATTTAACTGTTGACTAAAGACTATAAATATGTGTCATATTTAATAAGTGAGATACATGATATAGATCACCCACAGACTGATGTTTTCAGGCTTTTGTTTTGGTTATATGAGAACCTTTTCTCATAATAGTTAATGAAAACATTTAAGAATAGAATATTACGTCAGACCAATCATAAAACAGAAATTTAGGGTTTATGACAAGGTTGTAATAACATAATATATATAAAATAACTTCATATTGGTTTTGTCACACATTTGGAAATGACACAAATCTATACAAAAATACTTTATATTTGCTTTGAACATGAATGGAACATTTATTATGGATTTTTATTTATTTATGTGAACTGCTCTTCTTTCATAGTAGAATGACCATACAACAGACAACATCACTGTTTTAAAACCAAGAATTTGTTGCACAAATTAAAATCTATCTGTGTCCACACAGCATAAAAAAAATATACATGCATTCATAAATATATACATACATCTTCACTAACATGGAAAAAGGCCCAACCTCTTACACATGGGCCAACATCAGCAGTTTCAAAACAAAAACACAAACTTATTCTCTTGTGACGATTTGAAGGGCAATATTTTATAGCACGTAAAATGTTTGCCTTAACATGAAGATAAGTGGTCAGTTTTCTAACTTTTAGGGTCAAGTGTTTTCTATTTTGTTGGTCTAAAAATGGGATATGCAAACCCAGAGCCATATGTGGCTTTTTGGCTCTACCGCAACAGAAGTGCCCAGATAGTAGAAAACTTTTTTTCATCCTGAAACTTTCATGTGGGGTACCTATATATCTTTAATTTCCTTACTAGCATAAATCAGGGCTCAGTCTGCAAACATCTTTTTTTCTTTAATAAACATAATTGCAATTGTCTTAACTTTCAGAATAATTGTAATTTTTTCATTCAGTAAGTATAACATCTGGGTCTTTGAACTGAACCAGTCTAGAAGACATTTTTAGTATTTTGCAGCAACAAAAACGAGGATTTTTTTCTCCCTGTATTTAGCCAAAGTTAATGAATGAGTGAGCCCATATATCTATTTTAGGAAAAGGTTTTGTGGCCCTACTGACCGCATTATAAAACTGAAACATACCCGCAAAAACAGACCTATTGTATCTGACCTTTTCTATTTAAGAAGATAAAATTTTTACTTTAAAAATCAACTTCAGCACCTGTTATTTAAGGATCAGATTCAGGCTGTGCAGAAACATTGGAAGGACCACAAACGGCACACAGACTGCACTTTGGACATCCCTGTTTCTGATCATTTAGCAGCACTAATTGAAAGATTTTACTGAATATAACTACTACTACTACTACTACTACTACTACTACTACTACTACTACTACTAATAATAATAATAATAATAATAATAATAAGAAGAAGAAGAAGAAGAAGAATAGATTTTATTCATTATGCTCTTCATATCTTGAGATCTAATTTTAGCCTGGGTATCTTTCACTGTCCAAGATTAAACACGTAATAAATGAAATGTTAACCTAGTTTTTGGTAAAAAAAAAAAAAAAATGGAAGAAAACATTGCAATTTTTGGTTATGTGATCATTCATCAGATGAAGAGACAAAAAAGATCAAAAGGAAAAGTTGAAAGCTGCTCCATTGTTGCTGTGGTTTCTAGCTCACAAAGCTATCGTGAGTGAAATAGGTTTCTAGGTCAGTGAGGAGTATATAGTGGCTCACCAAAAAAAGAAAAAAAAATCCCAAAATGAATAAAAAAGAAACAAAACAGGTTCTTGATGTTCTTTTATAGGATGTTTTTATTTTCCCTCAACAAAAACGTTTTTGCCAGTTGTTGGGATGCAGACAAATCTTTAAAACACAGATTAAGTACTGAAATAAAATATCCTCTATTTTTGCTATTAAATATTATGACATGTAAATGGCTGTAATGATACAAGCAATAATTTCACTTGTTTCAATATTCCCACCGTCAACAACTATAAGTGAGAAACATGTAATGTTTTGTGGCAAGTCCTTAACTTGTGCTAACTGCATGAGGCCTGAATTTCAATCATGCCTACAAGGTTTTGCAATTATTTTTTATTTTTTGGTGAATCTTGGACAACAGAATAATTATGATGTTGTTTTGAGGGTGTTTCTTTCTTGAATCTCTATTGTTTTGCACCAACATGATTATGTGTTGTTGTGGCTATGACTGGGTCAACAACAGGAACCTGTCTGTGTGGTTTTACATTCTTCTATTTTTTTAGACATAAAAGCTGCTATTATAGAAAATATTAAGCAGATAATAAAAAAAAAAGTCTCTTACCTCATGCTTCTAAAATTTGAATCCATTTAGTCAATGTCAAAAAGGAAATTGTTTTATGTGTTTTGGAAGATAATTTCTAATGTTGTTTTTCATTTGTTGTTAACTAAGAAAAAAAACACAAGCCTGTCAATTTCCCCCTAAAATCTTGAATGGTCTTTGCTTCACAATCCTCTTAACGGTATCTGGTAGGTTGAGCCCTTACCAGTTTTTTTTCCTTCCACTAAATTTTCCATGAATACATTTGGACACGTCCCGCTTCTTTAGGCTTACTGCAATCGGTGTTTGCAGCATCATCAATCCTCCTGCCAGATCCACCGCAGGATTCTCCAACTTCATCCCGACCTCAACGGTTTCACACCTTTAACCTGATCCTCACGTCAGTCTTACCTCATCTTATCCTCCCACCACCAATTCTAACTTCACTCCAACTCAACCTTATCATGAGAAAAATGAGTGAATGAATCAATAAACCAATCAGTGTGCATCACGAGACTCAGATGCATGTTCCCTGGAGCAGCCGACTGAGTATGTCACTCGTCATGTAATTACAGTTTTCTCACGCTGGGCTCAATCGCACAGGATCTGTTTGCACATGATCTCTTCCCACAAGTTGACATGAGGTACATTTGGCTCCTGTCAGCAGTATTGTTTGTGTTGTCCTAAAAAGAACTATGTGTTTTTCCACTGCCATCCCTGCCGTTGTTTTCTGCTGCAGTTATGGGAAAACCGCTGAGATAGTTTGCTCACATCTTTAAGGAAGCTCTTCCAACAGAAACAATGTCAAGGCAGGTTATAATTCAGGCTGAAAACCGCTGGATTTTCTCCGTCATCGTGTTCAGGATCCTGCAAGCTGGAGCCTGAATGTCCAGAGCTGATTATTTATCAAACACACACGTACAAAACGAGGTAGAAACTGAGAGCATGTTGGGTGTAGCTACTGTAAACTGAATCATATAGGGTCGCTCTGCGCTCTGGCATCACGACGAGAGTTTGAAGACTAAATTTAAAGGTAATTACTATGACAGTGAGGAGAGAAAACTGAAATAACCCGGAGCTTTTCAAAGCTGTCATTATCACTGGAATTATAATGACAAGGTTTGGGTCTCTTCAATGGACTTGTTGGGGTAGGACACCCACAAACATGGCATTCCTGAGGGCAACATTGCAGCATATTAATGATATATAGCCTAGTGTAGATTACAAAGCTGGGGTCCCTTCTCGTGCTTTAAGGTTTCAGTTAACTTGAAACGAAATACCAGACCTTGAAACGACTGCTTGTTTTACACTGTGTGTGTGTGTAATGTGCTGTGTCATGTCTTAGGTATAAGCTCTCACAGCAGTGCATATTTCACCATCTCAACAGGACTTTTCAGCATTAAATTTACAATATCTTTGAGTACATATAAGTTTCTCTTGTTTGATTGGATATCTGTTTTAGAGAGATATTGCTGCTGCTGCAGCATTGTTTTACAGTTGCAAAATAAACGTAGGTGTGTGTGTGATTCACCACAGAAACCCTCACTGTACTTAGGTGGATTATGGCTGTCCAAATATTGCACATTACAAATATTACTCGCAGTATGACACATAGGATCTGTCTGAACATACTTTAAATGGTTTTAAAATGAGGTCACATGGCAGATCAAGAGCTCAGTAAATCCTCACAGAATATTTTTATTTCTGGCTTTTATTAATCTCCCCTCACACAACTGGAAAACCAGGACATCCACCAGCACAAGACAGCAAGAAGTTCTGCACATGCACACTTTGATAGGGGCAAACGACCATTCTGGTAAACCTCAAGATTGAAAAAAGTAGCCGCAGTATTTACAAAAAAGGAAGGAGGAAAGAAAGTCCAATATTTTTAGTCTAAATTACAGTGTTGGAACAGTGCTTTGCACAGTTGAGTGTCCAGGGAGTGGAATGGCATGATGGGCGAACACTGGTGCCAGGCCCCACCCTCCCCACATTGTCCTCACCGTGGAGTTCCTGCTCTCTAACAGCACACTTGTCCTTCTCATACCCTCCCAGCATCTCATGCGAACAGCATCATTTCTGGCAAAGTTATTGCTGGAGCTGAAAGGGGACCAGGGTTGAAACAGGGTCAGTTTACCAGGGATCTGTATTTTGTCATCTTTCTGCTCATGCACAGTGCACAAATTTCACTTCAAATGAGGACTTTTTGCTCTGGTGTGAGGCATACTTGATGAATCTGCATCCTGCTACAACGAGCTGTGCTTGAGAGGGACAGAATTAGCTTGTGCCATGCCAAACTCCCACCTAAACTGGAGAAACAGCTACTCATGCTTTTCATGCATTCTCTCTTGAAACGTGCCTCGCAGCCTAAACATTTTTCCCTTGGAAACCCTGTGGTTAACACAGAGATGAGTAGGAGTGAGATGATTGCTGTAACATTCTTGTAACTTTTATGCCCACTGGAGTGAGCGCGTTGAATTTGCATTTTTGAAAGTTGATGAAATAACTCTAATAGATTGTGTGAAGAAGGCTAAGAATTTTTCGGTGATGATTCATGCTGCACAACTTGCTCATTAGAGCGTTAGCCTTAAAGTTGTTGTTTTAGTTTTGTAAACATTATATTTTATGCATTTTCAAAGAGAGCTCCAAAGTCCAAATTAGATGATGAGTTTAAATCAGTGGGATTTTCCTGCATTTGAAAAAGATGATGTCATTCTCCTGCCTCAGATCTAACCCTCCTCCTCCTCATTCATTAAAATTAAAAGCTTTAAGCTCATACCCGGTGCCTATCTTTTTGTTTGTTCTTGAATATTGCATAAAGCAGGCCTCAACATCTTAGGTCTTTTTCTTCTTTTCTTTTTGCATGATGAAGACATTTGTAAAGTAAAAAACACCTTTTTGTTTAAGCTATATAAAATATCAGAAACATTAAGAACTAAAGAAAAATGATTGTTGATGGTAGTGTCCATCAATTTTTCAGACAACAAAGAATCACGTTTCTTTTTTAATTGTTTTATTTTGGTAAGACAAGAATATTATTGGTACATACGACGATTAACTGTATTTTAAAGAATCTGAATAAAAATGCAGTCTTCCACCTCATCAACTTAGCAGTAATGTTTTCAACGTGCTTTTACCACACACAATCCTGCTGGTGGTAATTCCACTTGAGAAAACTTGTTTAACTTTTTTTAATGTCTTGCAGCGCCCCCTGGACCATGCCTCCCTGAGCAAAAACCACCAATAATATAAAAATACATCATTAAAGAAGCTCAGTTGTGGTCTTTCAGAGGAAATTTCTCCACAAGCCACAAGAAATAAATTCATAATCCCAATATGTGTGCAAATTTTAAAAGACTAACACTGGTGCTGCTAATTTGTATAAATGTGGAAGCAATCAGCTTCGCTTTTGTATCAGCCAGAAAAAATACATCAAATATAATTTAAGCAAAAATTAAGCACTTATAAAATTACAAAAGTTCAAAAAGCATGAAGGAATTTCTGCAGGCATTAAGTATTTTAAGACCATTTCTTTTGACTTTATCAGTGAGAGCAATTCATTTTTTACACCTTGAGAAACCCCTTCCCCTTTCACATGGCGATTTTCTTTGGCTTCAGTGCAGTCAGTAAGTATGAGCAGAAGAAAATGCAGCCAACAGTAATGTTTCATATAAAAAAAATGAAAGAAAAGAGGGAAATACAGCTTGGTAAGCAGGTAGAGTCCTCAGCTCTGCTCTCATGGAGGGGGAGGGTTGGGGACTCCTGATGGAGTTGGGATGTACCGGCACAGGATTGGTGGATGGCTGCTCCAGATGTGGCTCCATGCCAAGCCCTTATGTCTTTATATACTGTAATCAGATGAGGGGACAGCCCTGAGTGAGCATCGCACCCACTCTGCGTCTTTCCTGCAGCTCCCCTGGTCTCCAGCATCCACAGGTCTCCTCTGCACCCCAGACTCTGAACACAATGGCCAAGCAGACCTTCATCCTCTGTCTGTGGCTCCTGGCTGGGAGCCTCTTCACCGAGGCGACCTACTACCGCCACCACCGCTACATCCCACACTTCTTCCGCTACAGGGAGCCCTCCACCAACACAGAAAACCTCCTTCCCGACGTCGCAAACCCGGCGCCCGAAGTTTCGCAGTCCGGCAACCCGACCTACCCCGAGGTCCCCGAGGTGTTCCACCCGCCGCCCGAAGTTGTCCACACTATCCCAGAGGCTTTCCACCCGGTGCCCGAAGTCGTGCATCCGGCACCTGAGACCCATCACGTGCTGCAGGTCCCCGACAGAAATCGTGACAGTCGGGTTTTTTACGGAGTCATGTTTGATGCTGGGAGCACCGGCACCAGGATCCACATCTACAAGTTCATTCAGAAGGATCCCGGTGAGTGCACTGCCCTCTCAGAACAGCTGACTCCCACTCTGTTTGCTGTTAGGTCATTCGCTGTGTGGTGTCAGGACCAACATGCACCAGCAGAGTGCATGGGCAATTTAAAATAGGCAGGAGGTGAACTTGTGTGAGTCAACTGTAGGAAACTTTAAATAATTAAAAATGAGCCTGAATGCAGATGAAAGTCCATGTAATTAGAAGGCAGAGCTGCAAAAAAATGCAAATTAAGAAAACCCCTCTAACTTGTGTTATCTGTTTTGTGACTTTTTTTGTAGTTGAGCTGCCTGTTCTGGACAATGAAATGTTCCATGCAGTGAAACCTGGATTGTCTGAATATAAGGACAACCCTGAGGAGGTATGTATGCATGTTGGCACCATTACTTCATCTTTTTATAGGGAGTTGCTCACTGTCACTACCACTAAACCACTTGGATTTTCATCGGGTTAGATTTAAGTGACGTAAAACCCTTTGTAATTCCAAAACTGCCGCTTCAGCTCCATGTCTAATGATTTTTCTTTTAATTTCTGCATGGAAAGTTGCTGCTCTCAAACCTTGCATTCTTAGGGCAGAAAGAAATTTTCGACCCATTCACACACGGATGCCATGAACACACTCACTCTGTCACTTTAAGGAATTGTAGTCATGTTGTTTCTTTACAGAAATTAGTTAAGGCGATATTGTAACGCTCCAAAGTCTCAGCTAGGGGGAGCATACAAACGATGAATAAAAGGAATCCGAGAACGGAACTTGGAGGAACCCCACAATCGATCTTTGTTTGCTAAGATTTATATTTGGTGTATCACATAAAGGGGTCTGTTTCAGCCAAATAAGATCAGAACCAATTCAACACACCACTTAGTTTACTGGCTTATGAGCCTCAATATGAGGAGTCACACATTCCTACCATGAGTACTTTGAAAAGTTTGAGAATTACTTTCTTTGTAAAAAATTTAAAATAAATAAACAAACAAGATCAGCTATTAACTGCCAGAGAGAGAGAAAATGCACTCTATAGTTATTAGCTAACATTGTAAATGTAGAACTTAATTTATAAACAGCAGTAAAGCTCCATTACACAGAGCTTTGCTCATTGTCACCGAACCACTCAGGTTTCCATTGGGTTTGTTTTATGTGATGTAAACTCACTACACCTTCAAAAATAGCTGCTGCTGCTCTCTTCTCTAGTGTTTTGTTTTTTTAATGTGCACTAATTAAAAGAACAAAAAATATTGTTGTCTTCCGCAGGGTGGGAACACCATCCGCCAGCTGCTGAAGATTGCCAAGAAGACAGTGCCAGAGGAGGAGTGGAGGAGGACGCCAGTGGTCCTGAAGGCCACAGCGGGTCTGCGCCTGCTGCCCCTGGAGAAGGCCAATGCCCTGCTGAAAGAGGTGAGGCACATTTTTACTCTGCCATCAGACTGCTTAGCGCAAACCCCAGCCGTCCCACCAGGGATAGGGATGAGAAAACCACTAAGTGCTTACAAGTGACACTGAACGAAACAGCAGCAAGTCTGCCCATTTGGTGGTTATCATGTTGCAAAGAACAGCTGTTGTTGGGTTGTGTGGAGCAACCATATTTGGCATTTTAAGTATTATCCAGGCTTCTGTTCCAGCCATGTTTGTGGTTCAGTTGTGTGTCACTCTAAAACAGTCTACCAGACTGCACTGTTTGTAAATCAGGTTATGCTTACTTTTTCATTCCAGACAAAATTAGATTACTCAGGTAATTATTGCTCTCATAAAGCATACAGCTTTGCTGAAGCTATGATGAATCAATCCTGCAGGTACGAGAGGTTTTTGAAGAGTCACCTTTCTATGTGCCAGAGAACAGCGTTTCCATCATGAATGGAGCGAATGAAGGTGAGTAAACTTTTGCTAAAGCATTAAGACCAGTGACCAATAAGCATCTTTAGGTTATTCTGTACTTAATTCCCAATAAAAAATAGGGTGATTAATGTAATTATTTTTCTGCATGTGAGTTTAGGAGTCCTTGCCTGGGTTACAGTGAACTTCCTCACAGGTAAGGCATTTGTGAAGTTTTCTATACTGGTGTTAGAAGTTGCAGGAGGCACTTAGATTCTCAGTCCTGTATCCTAAACCCCAAATGAACAGCAAAATATGGATTATATTATTACAGTGCTGTGGTTTAATCACATTTATCTAAAATAAATATATGTTCTCTTCCTTGTTGGACACACTTTTAAGCAGTATGAAGATACTAGTGACTATAATTAAAATCCTGACTAAAATTAGAACATTCCTGAAGAAGATCTGATGGTAGTTGCCACTTGGTGTGTACTGTCAAACATCTTGATGCCTTTTTATTGTTGAGTTAAATCACGTTTTAGCATTAAATCCCAATTGCAATAATTGTATCCATAAAAAGCAAGACTTAAATTTGGAAAAGTATTTTTAAGCCTTTTATTAACGGTGTACCAATGTAATTTTTTTCAGAACTTCAGTAATGTAACATATGCATTTTGAAAAGCTTGGCAAGTTTTGCATATTAAAAAAAAACCCAAACACAACAAAGCTAACCATGTTGATTTCTGCTTTAGACCAATTATGTATGTAAAACCTACTCTTGTAATATTCCAACATATAATTTCTCCTTTTTTGAAGTGTCTGCTTGCTTTAGTTAAAATAAAGCAAGCATTGCATTGCTGATTTAAACTCTTTAGGAATGTGAGTACTTCTGTAATTGTCACTTTCCTTATAAAAGAGTGGGAATCTTATTGTGAAGAGTGTTGCGAGCTTTACTTTGCAAGTCAAAGTCTCAACCTAGGACTTGTAGAATTTCTTGTTTCCAAACAAGCAAAATCACCAATGGTCTAAAAAAATGCCTTCCTCATTTATTGCTACACTTTCAACATTCAATACAATGCCCCATTAACCTTCGTCTAACTTGATTTCTGCCTCCTTGTTCTTGTTTTTCAATAGGCCATTTGTATTCCAACACCAGGAGGACAGTGGGGATTCTGGATTTGGGTGGAGGATCAACTCAAATCACTTTCCTTCCTAAATCAAAGGTGAATGAAGTCTTTCATATGCAAATTAAACAAGTTCAAGTCTTTTAGAACTTACTAACACTTGTCTTTGATCCACCAGAAAACAATTGAAGTTGCTCCAAGAAGTTTCACAGCCAAATTCAACCTGTTCAACCATACATATGAACTCTACACACACAGGTAAATGACTTGGCAAGTGTGGCACTAAAAAGTAAAGCATGGATATTTTATTCTAAATATGTGCCATATTTACATAGCTACCTTGGAAATGGACTAGTTGCCGCCCGCCTTGCAACACTTGGAGCACTAGGAGCCGATGGTAAGTCATATTCATTTAACTATGTATGCCTTGTGCATTTGCTCTGGGAAATGCTCAGTGTCAGGCAAAATGTTTATTGTTTATGCTTTCCCAGGACTGGATTGGAAAGTCTTCACTAGTTCCTGTCTCCCGAAAAAATACAGAGAAGAAGTGAAATTTGGAGGGGACATCTATAAAGTTAGCGGGATTCCAGGCGGTAAGATAAAAGCCTCCTGAGGTTTTGAATGCTCTCCCATTGTCCTGACTCCAACAATCCATACATTCCTCTCTCTAAAGTCTGGAACCCGACAGAGTACAGTACAATACAGTCTCACAGGAGAGCACATATCAGCCAGTGCTCGTATAATCTTGGCACCAAACACATGTTTTATCGTTCTCTCTCTCTTATTGTTCCCACTTGGAAAATTAAACTGTCGTCAACCTTGTATTTAGGTGAGAGTGAAGACTGTCAGTTGACTTCACAAATAAGCGAGTCACTCCCATACCACAGCCAAGCAGCCAAATGTTGCCAGATCATCCCTGAGTTGTTATATTTTTCATTGCAGAGAGATCATTTTGATCTTGGCCTGGTCACAATTGTGTGTTTCGAAATAGGCGGCACAACTGGGCTGTGTGAGCTGTCACTCCTGTCAGCACATGGTTTTGCCGGCACAATTGCACCAACTGTTCTCATGGGGCCGTGTGAAAGTTGTCCTTCTGGGGCTTTCCTTTAGTTAACGTCTAGTGAGCCCTGAGTTTCACCCGCCCGCTGACCTCGGAGTGCGGCTTCCAGCTCTCCTAGTTGCATTCCATCCATCTTTGCTTTCCAAAACTCCCTCTTTTCTTCACTTCCCTTAATGCTAAGCAAGACCAATCTTTAAACCTCTGCTGTCTTGTCTTGTTACAGGATATGCAGGCTATAAACTGTGCTACTATGAGGTCATGAGGGTCGTCAAGGGAAATTTTCACCAACCGTACGAAGTGAAAAGCAGCAGCGTCTTCTATGCTTTTTCCCACTACTATGACAGAGCTGTGCAGACCGGCCTTATCAGTAAGTGAGAATAGATATTTGAGCCACCTTCCAGCGTCATTATCTTTTATGCTAATTATAATCTCTTGCTCAAGGTTGGTATTCAAATTGCATGTTTGTTTTTGTTCCACACCAGGCAGTCTAGGTGGTGCGGTTGAAGTAAGAGACTTTAAGAAGAAAGCCAAAGAAGGTAAGAGTTACATCGTAACCTCCTTAAAGCAGTCAAAGGGGTTGGGAAGGTTGAGTTGATCTTTACAAATGAAACAGTCCTGATCCAAAGGAGCCAACAGTTTGTGCATCTCAGAATGTCAGAGAGTTAAACTGAGAGCTGATGGGTATAAAAAGTTATGGCCATATCACCTTGCTTAGGTATGGTCCAGAGAACATTAAGTAAACAAGTCATTGATGATCTTAGAGGTCCAGATTGTTCACATACATGACAACTGAAATATATTTAGACCAAGGATCATTCAGTATGTAGATCAATAAAACTGCTTTAAATTCAATACTTTTAAGATAAAGACAATGGAGTGATTTATGAACTCTACTGTCATACACTTTCCTGTTGGTGGTCAAGACTTTGGCAGCATCATTTTATATCAGCAAAGTCCCCATTAAAATATCCTAACCTACTAAAAACAGCATGCACTGGTGTCCTGTTCTGAAAGAAAACTATTATCCCCGTGTTCTTAAAACACAAGCAGGGTGAATTGGTAATGGACTTTATGTGGATGTTAAATTTTACATACATAAAGACTTAGATTTCTTCTTGGTTTGATTTGAGGGTCCAAGAATAATGATTTATGTCTTTCCTGTGTTAAGTTGGAAGTAAAATTAACACCTTCAGTGACAACATATAAACATTGAATCAGTGGTTATAGTAGAATGGAGTGATAAGTTGGGATGGAAATATAAAGTTGTATTTAATTTGCATATATGAAGAATTGTAAGTAGCAAGAGAACAGAGACTTGGAGAACCCCGCATGTGATTTTTGATCACTAAGATTTTTTATTGCCAAATATCACTGATCTAAAGCAACCACAGTACTACAATATCATACCCAAGTCACAATGTAGCAGAAGCAGTGCTTGCAGATGACAGCCCCCAGTATAAGGGGCCACAAGTCTCTGCCACAGAAATTTTGTGGCTTTGAAGCTGAAAAGTTTAGGAACCACTGCTTTAGAGGGTGAAATCTATGTTTCAGATTCAAAATGTCACACAAAAGAAAACTGAAGAGGCATTTTTGTGCCTCAAATGTCAGCCAAATAGCTCAATTTCTCCGAGAAGAAAGACTTCCACATGCTATGGTTATCAATTTAACTTTCTGACCACCATAATGTAGAACCTCGCTTATAGCCAACAGGAATGAGTTGGTGAGTTACATAACCCTGTTTGTGTTGTGAGAACACTGTCACACGGTCTCAAGAAATGAATCTCACTCAAGCTCGGCTGGCGGGCGAGCTGAAGGTGTCTGCAGGTCCCAGGCAGGAGGGCACCTGGCAGATACACACCACCTGGATGCTGGAAAACGCTGACACACACATAAACACATGCCTGGCTGCTTAACACCACCACCCACCCGCAGCCTTGTGCTGACCCTCAGCCATACTCCTCACACCTCCCTGCGTACGCAGACACACATAACAGAAAGGTCATTCTGTCATGGGTCAGAAAAGATCCCACTACTTCTTTATGTACTTCTGTACATAAAGAAGTACTTCTGTACTTCCCCCTGTACTTCTTTATGGATTGTCACTGAAATATTGTTTTGATGTATGTTTGTGTTTTTTCTGTATTTGCAGTGTGCAACAAAATGACCAAATACCGTGCCATTAGCCCTTTCCTCTGCATGGACATGACGTATATTACTTGCCTGCTAAAGGAGGGCTTTGGCTTCAAGGACAGCACTGTGCTGCATGTAAGTGACTCAGGTTACCAATTGCAATGCATGTGGGAGCCACAATGTTCCTTGATTCCAACATTGAGAAAAGTGTCTGTATTTAGATGGAGATTCTTACCTTATGTTTTTTTTCCTCAGCTGGCCAAGAAGGTGAACAATGTGGAGACCAGCTGGGCTCTGGGGGCGACCTTTGATTTCTTCAGAAACTTCAACATCCACCAAAACTAGCTGCAGTCGCTGTCGCTGGCACTGAGAGGGACAGTCTGTCACTGTGGGGCCTCCTTTCCTCTGACCACCCAACCTCCTCAATTCTTACTAAAACCTCATCATCCTGCAAACACTAAATGAACTCTTTTGTTAAGAAGAAAAAAAAGAATAAATCACTATATTTTTATAAGGCCAGCTTTTTCTACTGTATATCAAGCTCATCGTTGGTGGGTTGACTTTATTTTTATAAAACGTTTACATGTTTCCTAATGTCTTTCTGGCCAACCTGTAAAGGGTGAAGAGGGGAACTTTGGAGGCAGTGATAGGAGCCATGGTATTTTGGTGCTTACTGTGGTCCTGGTGTGCGCTGTGCAGAGCAGTGGAATAAATTTAGACAATAGTTGCCGGAGCCTCAACCACAATTGTCTTTCTAGATGCTTGTAAATCTGTTCTCTTTTTATTATAGCTGTAAATCTTATTTTATATTTATATATACAGATGCCCAGTTAATTTGCTCTTGCCATTAGATAAATAAGACATCATTGGAAATAGAGCAGTTGACTACCAGACAGCTTCTTTTTCCTCAACATCGCACAAAACACTTTAACTGCAGTTATTGTAGCCGAGACATGACTAATTTGCTTTGACTTCCTCTACAGAGTTGTATATATTTATCATTATTTGGGTTTTTTCTTAAAAAGACAAATGCTGTAGAAATATGCCTCTCACATTGAGTGAACCAGTATAGTCTGTCCCAGCAAGAGCAGGAGAGAAAAAAAATATGTTTTTTTTAATCTTATTTTATTGGGACTTGGGAAGCCACTCAAGGATCCAGCAGCATTATCTGCAGTCATTTAATGATACATAAACCCAAGTTATATAAAACATGTCTGGAAAGTATGCTTTCTTTACGTTTTGTGAATTGTACAAATATTTAAATAGTTGAAAGTTTATTATTTTTTATTATCTGTACTCAACATGTTACTGCTCTTCTGACAATATTCCATTTTCATTATTCACCATATTCAGTTACTACTGCTGTACATACACAATGTAAACTTAGTGAAAATGTTTTTCAATATTTACAAAATAAATTGTCATGCCGCACAATTTCAGAGAAATATTTGTCAGTATGAAAAGTCTGATGTCTGATCATTTGTACATTGTTTTAAATAAATGTTGTGACAATAACCAAACAGGTATGTTTTAATAAAACATGAAAATGTGCTTAGTGTCATGCTGGTGTGTGCTAGAAAATTGCTACATCATCAAAATGTTCAAAAAATAAAACTTCTGTAACAGATTCATTTCATATAATTATAAATGCTTTTTAGGCATTTATCATTGTTAGTTTTGGCATATAGCTAGTGAAAAAGACAAGAACATAATAACCAAAAGGGATTGTTAAAACTGAGAGGCAGTTTTATTTATTACCAGTTACTGATAGCCTCCACACAGAAAAGGCCACTGAAGATCAATGATAAGGCACTGAACAGGTGGAAGAAAATAATTGCAAATGTAACATAACTGTTGACTTCAGGAAGCTTGGGAAGCAAAACCTATTCATATTCAAGAGATGTTTAAAGCATAGACAGGAGATAGTGTTTCAAGAGCCACTACACAGACATATTCAGGACACAGGAGAACAGGGACTGGAAAGTTGTTCAGTTATTTAAAGCCCTGTTTTGAGAGGAAAGTCAATTTTGCATTTCATTGGGAAATTATGGTCTGAGAGTCTGGAGGAAGAGTGGAGAGGCACGTATCCAAACTGCTTGAGGTCCAGCAGGAAGTTTCCATTGTCAGAAATGATTTGGGGAGCCATGTCATCTGCTCATGCCATCAAGAGGAAGATGAGTCACTGGACCTAACATGTCCAGTGACTACGTTGCTTTTAAAACAACGTAGGCTTCCTAAATACCTCAGCAGGTTCATAGACCAAATGCTTCCATGCCACGCCACACTGATGCAGTAACGTGTGGAAAGGGAGCCTCAAAAAATTGGTGCGTGTATATACTGCCTATATGTATTGCTAGAATCTTCAGTGGGCTGTGTACTAGAAACCCTTTTGTATGTTCTAATGTTCGGAGAAAGTGAAGTCAGAAATGAACACTCAAAATGTATCACTCTGTATTACAATGTTCAATATGAGCTTTGCATTTTGAACTAAATTATAACTAATTTGATGTGAAGACCCTGGAGTATGATTCATTTTCTTTAACATCACACACACATAGACGACATAAATAATGAGGCTGTTATTTTATTTTTACATTAATCTTTACAGCTTTTAAAGCTCAAAGTTCAGAGAAGATGACAATGTCCCTCCAGGTGCATCATTTGCTTGCGTATGCCATGATCTGCTCCTGAAAGAGGAGATGAGGCACAATTTTACAAACAACATACTGCGTTAGGATAGCGTTGCGCTGACTATAAACTTGTGAACTCGGAGGATTTAATATGGAAAAAATGTCACTTTTAATTTAGCAGCTCCATAGTGAAATGCCTTCCTGAGCAGTTACAGTCGTGTCGGTCTGAATCACTTAGTAGGAAATAAAGCCGTTTCACATGAGCGGTCACTAATAAAAAGGAGTGTGAAAACGCAAGCCAACACCACTGTCCGCTGCCCCGGGGCCAACAGTGCACCCCACCCACACACTTTTGGTAACACTAAATTTGGGGCTAAACTTAGATGCTATAGTAGTAGGTTCAGAGCCCTTAAAATTATAGACACGGCTACAGTAAAGCTCCATGTAATCAGAGGAGAGGGTGGGGCCACAGAGTGGGCGGAGCTTTTGGCTTGACAGGTGGTTGATGTTCTCAGGTTGGCTCAGAAGAAATGGAAGCTTACTTTTAGAGTCGGGAGCATGTTGGTGGCCTGCAGACCGAAGGTGCGTAGGAGAACCGCAGGAGCTGCGTTGGTGGAGTAAAGACGCTTCATGAGGTCAATGGCAGTCATCATGGGCAAATTGTGCCGCTGACGTTCCGTCTCATATTCTAACAAGTGCTGTATCGCTCCTGTGTGCAGAAAATCTCAGAGTTAAAACACTTTAGAGAATAAACCTTGCTTATATTATAGTTGTCAGTCAGGTGGAAGCCTGCAGAATTGTTATGCTTTGGTATATGATGATTGTTTGTTTGCTTTTATTGACTTTTGGCATTTTTGCCTGTGCTTTTAAAAGTGGGGGCTCCATAGTGAAATACCTTCCAGAGCATTTTGTTCCTTTGTTATTATTAGCACCTTGCAAAAACATTCACACACCCTGAATTTATTAACGACTGTTAACCTTATAACTACAGTCTTCAGACTGTTTTATTGGGATTTTATGTGATAGTCTAACAAAAAATAGAATATAATTGTAAAATGGAAAAAAAATAAATTGGTTTTAAAATGTATTACGCACTTTCAGTCAATATTTTATAGAACCAACTTTTATTGCAATTTCATCAGCAAGTCTTTTTAGGTATGTCTGTCAGCTTTGTACATCTGGAGCAGGGTTCTGCAACCTGAGGCTTCCAAAACAAAAGATAATTTTTAGATCTATTTTTTTCTCGTCTTGTCTCCTAAAATAAAGGGATGAAATGGTGGTTCTTTAATAAATTACAACATTTATATAGTAGATATATATCTTTTCTCATAAATTTCTGGCGCTAAATGAGTTTTATTTCACTGGACAGAGGGTGAAAAAAGATCTTTGGATTGTAAAAGTTGCAGACAGACTATAGAGACTAAACTTTTCAGATCAGTTGGACTAATATCACGATTCAGAATATTGCAAAAATAATTGCAATTGAAATTAAGAGTGGACTTTGAGTGGACTGCTCTATAACATAAATATGGTTTGACGTAAACCACTCTACTGTAGCTCTCGCAGCACATTTGGTGTCTTGAGACACGCAGCACCCGTGTCTCAAGACTTTTGCCGTGTCAGACATGTTTTCTTTGAGGATAACCCTGTATTTAGCCCCATCCATCTTTACTGAAGCTTCCCAGCAGGATGCTTTCTGTCAACAACTTTCTATTTTTTTTTCTATTAGCATCTCTTCCATAAAAACAGGTCTGCAGAATGCAAACTAATAGGTGTCCTGTCAACAGATTCTTCCACCTGAGTTACGATTTGTGCAGTTCTTCCAGCGCTCTGTGAGATGTTTAAGGTTTGGGATATTATTTTGCGACCTATGTGTACCTTAAAACTTCTCCACAACTTTATAAATGATCCATCTTCCGTGTTATTTATTCATTGTGTTCACTAATGTTCTATTGTAACTTCCAACGGTATTTTGATGTAGTGGGTTTTATTTAGGGGTATTAGAGTAAAGGGGGTTGATTACAAATGCATGCCAGAGAATTCATATTTTTATTTGCACCAACTTTTGGAAACTAGAAATTCTTCACCTTCAGAGTTACACCCCACTTTGTATTGATCTACTTAATAAATTCTCAATCCAATATATCGGCTCTAGTGGTGGTAACAGGACAAAAATGAAAAAGCCAGAAATCATGCTTCTTTTTAAAGATTAGTACTACAAGTTGTGTTGGAACAGAGGCCATGGAAACGAGCTCAGAGCAAACCACTTGTTGTCTGTTTAAAGTTCTCACTGACCCAGGTCCTTCCCGTTAAAAGCTGCCTGGCTCAAGATATGGGTAAGGCAAGCCACATCCCCGAAACCTAAGTTGACTCCCTGACCTGCCAGCGGGTGGACACGATGTGCTGCATCTCTGAAAACACAAACATACCATCATGGACATTATGCTGTCAATATTTCATGCTTTCATACAAGAAAGAAGCTAAAAACAGGCACAACGTTTAAAGAGCAGATTTTTTGGGGGTGTGAAGCTGTGATGTGCAGAGTGTTCTCATCTTACCCGATGAGCGCCACTCTGTGCCTGATGTACTCTGATGCGTGACCGACTCCCAGGGGGAACATGACTCTGCTTTTCGGGCCGATCCCCGCCACACTCGGTGGAAGCTGCCGTGGTGAGCCGGCTGACGGCATGATGGCCGACAGGGCGCCCCGGAACAAAGCGCCGGCTGTCTCAATTAGGTCTGAGTGGTTCTCATTGCTCCACTGTCATAGACATATTCACACAAGAGACAGAAAAAAGGCATTATTCTCATGAGTGGACAGAGAATCCAGTTGACACAGGGAGTAAAAAAAAACTTGAGGCCAGCAAAATAGCTCCCACCCCCTCCTTTCTAACTAACTGGTTTGGCAGGGCCTCAGGAGCTCGGCTAATTGAAAGAAGATGCCGGCCAGGCAATGCAGTTGAATTAGCTCTGTTTGAAAAACATTCCATGCAGTAATGGTCGACACTGGAAGACCACAGGTTTAATTAGCAAACCAGGCTTAAAACCAAGCGTGACTCAGTCGTGGTGACCCCATCCATCAGCTGGGCGAGTAAAAATAGCCACCTTGGGAAAACGGAGGTTCTCCCAAACGCAGAAAAAACACACAAAGGTATATCATTCCTGCAGGGAAATTATTATTATTATTGTATTTGGTTTTGGCCCAAACTCCAACAAAGATGTTTGTGTGAGTCACTCAAAAAGAGGTCAACATGCAGGTGTTTGGAGAATCCCTGCACACAAAGAAATGTCGCAACACCTTACTGACTGACCTCAATACTGTCTATAAATAAAACAGAACTGAGACTGTTAGGTCCAAGTTTTCTCTGGACAAATTCATAGATTTATTTATAAATTAACATATTTCCATGTGAATGCTTCTTATAATTTTATTTTGATTCTTTATTTTTATATTTAGTCATACTTAAATTACAAAATCACACCTATAAATATATTTTTTTGAAGTTTTATATCGCTTATTGTATTCACTAATATTTAACAAATTAGCAATTTCCTCTTGTAATCAAAGTAAAGCCTTTGTGACTCACAAAGGCTGAGTTGATGGCGTCGATGAAGCTCTCCTCGTCCAGCTCCAGCAGCTCCTCTGCAAGGTGATGGCTGGTTGACCACACCAGTGAGCTCTCTGTGTCAGAAAGCTACACACAACCAGCATCATCATCAAATACTTCTGCAACAGGTGCATACTTTACAAGAAATATCTACGACTGTGAAAAATTAGAAAGATTACCGGTAACATAGCGATGGGTCCAGTTGGGAGAAACCTTTGCCACGCAACGTTGTTCTCTGTGGGCTGAAACACATAAACCAAAGTATTTGACACATTTCAGGATATTGTAACCACAAACAATGTCAAAAGTTGA